GGGGGGGGAGGGATGGAGAGATTCCCATGCTGAGGGCCCAGGGAAGGGCCCGGGCCTACAGTCCCTCTGGCTAACGGGGGGTCTCACCTGCTCACGGGAGGGGTAATACGAGGCGCAGATGACCCTGCGCAAGCGCCCCACGTAGCTGCCGAAGATAGCGATGAAGAAGCACACGCCGTACATGAGTCCTGTGAGCAGGAGGGGGCGCCAGTCACACGTAGGGAGCTGGGCACAGCGGGGGGGTGAGGGGCTGCTGGGGCACAGCAGGGGGGCACAATGTGGGGGCAAGGGGCTGCTGGGCGCAGTGGGGGGCATCTGCCAGCCACGCTGATGGAGGGGGGCTGAGGCTGACCCTGTGGGTGCAGCTCTCCCGTGAGGGCTGGTGAGCCGTAGGGCCGGGCACGCGGGGCCTTGCACACGCACTGACATGGGCACCCCCGGTACACACACGTGCACCTGGCTGTGCACCGGCCTGCTCAGACAGCGCGGGCAGTGACGGCTAGTGCCCGGGTGCCCTCCCCCCCGGCAGGTCACCGATGAGCAGGTAGGTGCGGTAGTCCGGCTCAGCAGGGCGCAGGCGGCACCGGCGGGACAGGACGCTGACATTGCCGCGCTGCAGGGAGTCGAACGCCGAGACCAGGTCACGGTAGATCTCGCCCGTGTAGCCCGTCCCATTCACACTGACGCTCATCGCTACGGGGGCTGCGGGCAGATGGGCCAGGTTAGTGCAGGGCCGGGTGTGGGCAGGGAGTGGCTGCGGGCCCAGCGGCTGGTGGGGCCGGGTGTAGGTGGGGAGCGGCTGGGAGCCCGGTTTTTGGCAGGGCCGGGTGTGGGCGGGGAGTGGCTGGAGGCCCAGCGGCTGGCGGGGCCAGGTGTAGGTGGGGAGCGGCTGGGGGCCCGGTTTCTGGCAGGGCTGGGTGTGGGCGGGGAGCGGCTGGGGGCCCAGTGGCTGGCGGGGCCAGGTGTAGGTGGGTAGCGGCTGGGGGTCCGGTTTCTGGCAGGGCTGGGTTAGTGGCTGCGTGCCGCTTCCCAATGTGCCATCCCTGGGGCCAGCAGGGGCAGGTGGGCCTTGCTAAGGGGGCAGCCCCGAAGGGTAGCCAGGGAGGGGCAGGGCGGGGCTGGGCCGGGGGACTCACCCCTGGCGACGATCTCGCCATGCAGCTGGTAGCGGACCAAGTCGAACAGCCAGAAGACCCCGTAGTCGAGGAGGATGAGGGTGAGGCCGAGGAGCACGTGGCGTAGGACGCCGGCCAGGGCCAAGCTGTAACCGAAGCGCTCCCGGCGTGACAGGAACGGGGAGCCTGGGCCAGGCGGGAGGGAGCCCCATTGAGAGCGAGTGGGAGCTGGGCGGGAGCAGCCCCCTCTGCCCAAGGCCCCGCCCCTCTGCTCCCCGCTTGGCCCTGCCGCAGCCCCTTACCTGGGCAGATGTACTTGGTGCTCTCCCGCATGGAGAGGGGCAGCACCGTGGGCCTGCCCTGCCGCGCCCGCAGCACGTCCATGGCCAGGAAGCGCCCCGTGATGTAGATGTTGTCAAAGTCGTCGTCGTGCAGGTACCGTCTGCGATACAGCAGGGCCCTGCGGGGACACCAGGCTGAGGGGGGCACGGCACAGGGAGCAGGGTGGGGAAACAGGACTCGCTGGACGGGGAGTGGGGGCTGGTGGTTGGAGCAGGGGGCTGGGAGCCAGGACTCCTGGGTTCTCCCCCCAGCTCTGGGAGGGCAGTGGCGGCTGGCGGTTGGAGCAGGGGGCTGGGAGCCCGGAGTCGGGCTCAGGGACGCACTCACTGCAGGTACAGGTAGAGGAGGATGCAGGAGGAGACGTGTGCGAAGAGGCCCAGCACCTCGCGGGCTGGCTGCAGCCGCAGGCCAACGGCCTCCATGATGTCCAGGGCCACCTGGGCCAGGCTCTTGGTGGAGTTGAGGCTGACGTCAAACTGGTGCACAGCCGAGATGTTGAACTCAAACTCCCTGCGCACGCGGCTCAGCACCTT